CTTTCCAAACCTTCAAAATATCGAAATTGGGGATGTAGCATTAGGGAAATATAACTTGCATACAAATCCTCCTAAGAAATCATAACCAATTTTTGTAGCAACAAATATTTTATTTGGTGTCAAATAAATTTAATAATTTAACACCCAAATGTTATCCCACACTTTTCGCTTATGCTTGATTATTTCACGCAGACACACTTACACACACATATGAAATATTTAAATAATTCATAAAATTTAAGCAAAATATCATACATGTACACACGTACATACATGCAACAAAAAATATTTCATTATATCGAATGCCTATGTTTGTATTTGGGTTTTGAACCGCCATAACCTCTTATTTTCAGATTAGAGTATGTGGAGTAAATATTTTCTAATGGTGCTAAAGAATTTTGTGTGTATTTGCGCCGAAAAGAAGAACATATTCAAATAACACACATACTCGTATGTGTGTGAGTGTATACATGCATTATGATCCCTGTTTGCTGTGTTTGGGTTGGCGGAGGTTGTTGCTCCTGCTGCCGTTGTCGTGGTATGAATGGTAGGGAGTTGTTCAATGTGTCTGCGAACAAGTTCTTGGGAATCGTGACTGCAATTAAATTCTTTCGATTTATCGAAATATAACGAAGCCAAACACAAAAAAATAAAAAAAAAATCAAATCACAAAGAAAACATTTCAAATATTTATGTGCAATGATATTGTAGGACATTGGGGTGGAGTGGTTATTAAAGAAAATATATTTCTAAAAAAAGTTTATTATAGAAGAAATAATTTTTTTTAAAGGCACGTCAATAGTTATTGAAAAATACAATTGATGAATAATAAATTTTTAAAAAGGTCACGCTTTGTTGAAAAAATTAGAAAAAAATCCGATTTTCAGGAAACTTAACACACATCATTCTAGACCTAAATCATTAGGCTGTGCCAAATTTCGTGCAAATCGAAAGATATATAAGGACCGTTTACATTAAATCGGACGAAAATATATATGGGAGCTATATCTAAATCTGAACCGATTTTTCCCAATTTCAATAGGGTCCGTCCTTGGGCCAAATAAGTGACTTGTGCCAAATTTCATCCAAATCGGACTATAAGTGCGACCTGTACTTTGTAAAAAATCCACGCCTCTTTAATAGTCCTTGAAAAAAATATTCTTTAAAAAATCCACACCAATAGTATAGGCCTTGAAAAAATATTCTTTAAAAAATCCACACCAATAGTATAGGCCTTGAAAAAATATTCTTCAAAAAAACACGCCTCTATAAAAATTCTTGAAAAAATATTCTTTAAAAAATCCACGCCTCTACAATAGTCCTTGAAAAAAAATATTGTTTAAAAAATCCACGCCACTATAATAGTCCTTGAAAAAATATTCTTTAAAAAATCCACGCCACTATAATAGTCCTTGAAAAAATATTCTTTAAAGAATCCACGCCTCTAAAATAGTCCTTGAAAAAAAATTTTCTTTAAAAAATCCACGCTTCTAAAATAGTCATTGAAAAAAAAAAAAATTTCTTTAAAAAATCCACGCCACTAAAATAGTCCTTGAAAAAAAAATTTCTTTAAAAAATCCACGCCACTAAAATAGTCCTTAAAAAATAATCTTTAAAAAATCCACGCCTCTATAATAGTCCTTGAAAAAATATTCTTTAAAAAATCCACGCCTATTTCATAGTCCTTGAAAAAATATTCTTTAAAAAATCCACTCCTATTTCATGGTCCTTGAAAAAATATTCTGTAAAAAATCCACGCCTCTATAATAGTCCTTGAAAAAATATTCTTGAAAAAATCCACGCTTCTATAATAGTCCTTGAAAAAAATATTCTTTAAAAAATCCACGCCTCTATAATAGTCCTTGAAAAAAATATTCTTTAAAAAATCCACGATTTTAAAGTCCTATTCCTTGAAAATTTTGCTCTGCATATGTTTTCCTTCCCATCCCAATAATTCTCGGATTTTTTCCTGCCTCCATGTATGTGAATCCTTGTGTGTTACTGGATACTATTTGCCATTGATCAATGGCAATTGAAAAAAAAACACTCAGCTCCAATTATAATGAATGCCATTGAGAGTATCTGAATTCGCATAAATGTTTGTGTCTACTTATCTAATAAAAATAGAATTTAATTGTGAATATTTGTCTTTTAGCAAATATTTGTTGCTCCGTGGAGACACACACGAGTGTGTCGAATGTCCTGGCAGATAGAGGGATGCCACTGAAAAATCACATTTCAAATTTGTTTATTGAGGATTTATGAATGATTTGTTTGCGATTTGCCATGTATGGGTGTGTGTGTGTGCGTACATATTAACTCAAATAAGGAGACCTAAACAAATATAAATAGATAATAATTTGATATGTGTTGGTGTGTCGTGTTAATCTGAAATCTTTTGCATAATCCTATCAACATTTAATTAAATTATTTTTTAATAGGTTCTAATATGGAGACTTATTTAAAAAAAGGGGGTGGGTGAGCTTGGGACATATAACTTTAAAAATAATTTATTTAAATGGAATTTAAATAAACTAGACAATCGAAATTCAAAAGGCTCATGACTACTTTTGTAACCTTATTTGTTAATAATTGAGGTTCCAATAGACTCGACTAATTTTTAGTAAAATATTTGAACTCCAAATGCCAAAAAATCCCCCGAAAACAAAACTAAGGCTCTTTACCCCCAAAAAAACTGACTAACTAATCCCAATAAATTAACAAGTAAACAGGGGATTTTCAAATAAAATATAAGTAGCGTTAAAAAAGTTCACAAACAAGTTTTTTTGTGTATTTCAAACAAACAACCCTAGTAATCCTTTTGTAAATTTTTTTGAAATAAAAAACACATTATTCATATAAATACTGGAAAAGGGATACTTTTTTAATCCATTTTACAACAACTTTTTGGTAATGAATATCGTTCCTCTAACAAAATATCTACCAGAAAAAAGAGCACTAAAAATTGAAAAAAATGTATACAATGAAAAAAAATTACACAGAAATTAGATGGCACTTTAAAATGTCACAAGACATTATAAAGTTGATGGGCAACGAACAGAAAAACAGACATTTGGGGATGAAAAAAATCCTGGCTACTGGTCAGCAGGGTCTTGGGGTAAAAAACATTTCTCGAAAAAAATTCCCGACAACCTTAAACGAAAAGACACTTTTAATGAGCAATTGTCAACGGATGATTGAGACGAAGATGACGCCAAAAAACAAATCTAAGGAAATTGTTTTCTTAGCCATCCCTTAAAAGAAAAGCGACCAAGAAAAAAAAACCGACAAAAACTTGGAAATCTTGCATGACCGTAAAAAAAATCTGAATGCAAAGACATCCGAAACTGTAACAAAGTAGAGGCTGTGTTGGACGTAGAGCACACAGAAAAAATCACTTAACAAACAGCCAATGATGCGGGGATTTAAATAAACAGTTACGCTGATTTAATTTTCGTTTACAGTGATTTCATCTGTCTTCCCTTTGTCTTTGTCTTTTAGGGGGTATAAAATAAAAAAAAACTGAAGAAAAATTGAAAATTATTTTTTAAGGGAAAAATTTTGTCGAAGGTGGTATTAAGAGGAAACGAAAAAATAAGAAAAATGAAATAAAAAACGTCTTTAATAAATCCACGTCCCTATAATAGTCCTTGAAAAAAAATTCTTAAAAAAATAATTCTTTAAAAAATCCACGTCCCTACAATAGTCCTTGAAAAAAAAATCTTAAAAAAATAATTATTTAAAAAATCCACGCGTCTACAATCGTCCTTGAAAAAATATTCTTCAAAAAATCCACGCCTTTATAATAGTCCTTAAAAAGATATTCTTCAAAAAATCCACGCTAATAATAGTCCTTAAAAAAATTCTTTAAAAACCCCACGCTTATGATAGTCCTTGAAAAAAAATTCTTAAAAAAATCCACATCTCCTTGAAAAAATATTGTTTAAAAAATCCACGCCTCTATAATAGTCCTTGAAAAAATATTGCTTAAAAAATCCACGCCTTATAATAGTCCTTGAAAAAATATTGTTTAAAAAATCCACGCCTCTATAATAGTCCTTGAAAAAATATTGCTTAAAAAATCCACGCCTTATAATAGTCCTTGAAAAAATATTGTTTAAAAAATCCACGCCTCTTATAGTCCTTGAAAAAATATTGTTTAAAAAATCCACGCCTCTTATAGTCCTTGAAAAAATATTGTTTAAAAAATCCACGCCTCTTCTAGGCCTTGAAAAAATATTCTTTAAAAAATCCACGCTTATAGTGGTTCGGGAAAAAATTTCTTTAAAAAATCCACGCTTATAGTGGTTCGGGAAAAATATTCTTTAAAAAATCCACGCTTATAAAAGTCCTTAAAAAAGTATTCTTTAAAAAATCCACGCCTCTTATAGTCCTTGAAACAGTATTCTTTAAAAAATCCACGCCTCCTATAGTACTTGAAAAAGGTATTCTTTAAAAAATCCACGCCTCCTATAGTCCTTGAAAAAGTATTCGTTAAAAAATCCACGCCCTTGAGATGACTTCAAAAAATCTTGAAAAAAAATATTTATAAAAATTCCGATCATGTTTAGATTGTTTTTTTTTTCCTCTCCTCTCTTAGCCTTCCTCGTTCATATTAAAAAGTTCCATCCATACAAATGTCAAATTAAAAATGACGACATACTATTCCACCAGTAGATTTTAAGTACTTGTTTTTTTTTTTTTTTTTTTTTGGTTCCGTTACAAAAATGTCTTTGGGCCCTTCAAAAGTTCTGCACAGCATTTTAAGGTCATGTTAAATGCCTAACAACAAGAGTGACAATTTTCCGTTTCCTCAATTTAATTGGCAGCAAATCATGCCACAATCATTTGGTATTTTCTATAAAAGAAAATTGAAATCAGGACCCACTACCCTGCACACACATTCTTATTGAATATTTTACTGGATTTGATTTTTAGTTGTTGTTCTTGGCCTGTTCATTTTCATGTTTTTTTTTCAATTTTCACAATATTTCACTTACCTCTCCCACTGCGTCCAACGAAACGCAAATCATTAAATTTGGCCACTTGATTTTTCATCACGGCCGTACAGTTACGCAGCTCACCACAAAAGTTCTCATCGTTGCCGGCACGTATTGTCACAATGGTACCATCCATCACTTCGCCCAAGGCGAGAACTTTAAAAGCAATTGGCAGAGTTTTATTTGAACGCCAGTGTGTGGGTAATGTTGTGCAGACCTAAAATAGAGAACAACCCAAAAATAGAAAAATGAAAAATTTTAATGATGTTGGAAATTAAATTGAAAACAAATTGATATTAGAAGTCCGGCGGGACAGGGTAGCGTATAATGTTTGACAAGATCAACGGACATGACGTATACGCTTGATGGAACGCTTAGTGAAGCTGCACAAAAAAATATTTTTAAACCATTAAGGAAAGTAGTAAAATCGGACTGGGCCCACTATATGATACCCTTCACCACTCGAAGGAACATACTTATGTCTTTCTGCAACCTATGATAAATTTAATTTCATTCGGGCAGATTTAGATTCGTCTGCGTACCATGGGACAAATTTATGGAAAACGATTTATAGCAAAATTCGGAACACCGCACCGCTAAATATTTAATCTCAATCAGACACCAATTTCAATAAAACCCAATAACGTCACTCAAGTCTCAATTTGATACGTTGTGCTAAATTTCATGTTAATCGGACAAATATTAGGAGTTTGGTGTACCATTCATGTAAAATCAGACGAAAATATATATGGGAGCTATATCTAAATCTGAACCGATTTTCATGAAACTTAGCACATATCATCCTAGACTCAATTAAGTACGCTATGCCAAATTTCGTGCAAAACGAAAAATATATTCGGACTTTGGTGCACCATTTACATTAAATAGGACAAAAATATATATGAGAGCTATATCTAAATCTGAACCGATTTTTACGAAACTTAGCACACATCATTCTAGGCTCAATTCAGTATGATGTGCCAAATTTCGTGCAAATCGAAGAATATATAGGGTATTTGGTGCACCATCTGTCTAAAATCGGACGAAAATATATATGGGACATATATCTAAATCTGAATGGATCTTCACGAAACTTAGCACACATCGTTCTATACTCAATTGAGTACACTATGCCAAATTTCGTGCAAATCGAAGAATATATAGGGTCTTTGCTGCACGATTTAAATTAAATCGGACGAAAATATATATGGGAGCTATATCTAAATCTGAACCGATTTTCACGAAACTTAAAACACATCATTCTAGGCTCAATTCAGTACGATGTGCCAAATTTCGTGCAAATCAAAGGACTTTGGTACACCATTTACCTTATATCGGACGAAAATATATATGGGAGCGCTATCTAAATCTGAACCAATTTTTACGAAACTTCGCACACATCATTCTAGACCTAATTCAGTACGCTGTGCCAAATTTCGTGCAAATCGAAAAATATTTAGGAACTTTGGTCCACTATTTACCATAAATCGGACGAAAATATATATGGGAGCTATAGCTAAATCTGAACCGATTTTCAGGAAACTTAGCACACATCATTCTAGGCTCAATTCAGTACGTTGTGCCAAATTTCGTGAAAATCGAAGGATATATAGGGTCTTTGGTGCACCATTTACCTTAAATCGGACAAAAATATATATGGGAGCTATATCTAAATCTGAACCGATTTTTACCAATTTCAATAGGGTTCGTTCTTGAAGCATATGAATAAGCTGTGCCAAATTGTATCCAATTCGAATAATAATTGAGTTTTATATATATTTTTTTATTTGTTTGAAATACTCACAATATGTGGTGATCCCGTCTTGACCAGTTCCCCTGGATGTTCGGCCAAAAGCACATCTACAGTCCGTTCAATTAGATTTTCAGGTGTCAGATATGGACTTGTGTCCACTGGCTTTTTATTAGCCGTACCATTGTTGTTGTTATTATTTGTCGAGTTGTTATTGTTGTTATTTTCATTGTTTGCACTACGTCCGGATTTTTTGGAGGAATTTGTGGTCGTTACGGTGGTGGTGGAACTCACTTCACTGGTTATGTGCATTTTTGCAAATATTTTTTTTTCTTTCAAAATTCACTTTTTTGAATATTTGCTTTATTTTTCTTTTAGATCTTGATTTCTCTTGATGATCCACGATTCTATTTTTACATATACATGACTTCAAAGGATTGTTATACAGACACACTCACACACAAGAAAACTATAAGATAAAGGGATATTTAAGGGTATAAATGTAGACATGCGGATGATAGACTTGGCAAAAAAAATTCGGGTGGGAAATAAAAATGTAAACTTTGTATTTGCAGGATGGGGGTCTTTTCCCCTCCCTCTTTTCTTTAAGGCTTCGTATGAAAGGATATGCGAAACGAAAGGCTTTGTAGTGCTGTTATGCTCATATAATAGACCTGTTGAATGTATGTGTGGACAGCTTCTTTGGCGGAAACAGGATATTGTAAAACTTTGTTATGCCTCCTCAAGTTTAAATGGGAGTCTTTATCACGTCTTTATTTCCAAATTGAATCCACGAGGATTTGAGTTATTTTTTTCTAGACTCTAGGGATTGATGTCAAACACTCACACATTTTCACAACATTAAAAAAATTGGGGATTTTGTAAAAAAAATATTTTTTATGATTTTCTTTCTATTTCAAAATTATTTGCTATATATTTTAAGGACGTCCAACCGATTCAAAGTTTGATGAGCGATTAAAATGATTGGTTAAGGCATTTTTTATTATTTACTGGCAATTGTCAATTTGTTTGTGTTCGCAAAAAAAGTAAAAGCCGGAGCGGTCACCTTTCATCCACCCACTCACACCATTAAAAGCCATTCGTTTCCGCCATTTCATTAATTCTCGACACGGTACCGGTCACAATTAAACCTCATTTGAAAACAAACACATCTGTTTCCCGTTTAATACACCAAAAAATATCCTGTTAACGAACGGCATGTGGCGGTATTGCAATAATAATTTGTAGTTTTTCGTCCATTTTTTATGACACAATTTCTTTTCACTTCAATTCGTTTTGTTTTCGCTCATTATTTTTTTTCACATCATTTTGTTATTTTTTTGCACATATTGGCTTTTTTCCTTTGTTTTCAGTTTTGTGTTATTAACAATTTCCGTTTTGATAATATTTTTATTTTTTTCAAATGACATAAAAACCAAATTTGAAATTAATATAAAGAAGTCAACAGGATTTAATGGCACTGTGTTTCAAAATAAACATTTTTTAAAAGAAAAATATTTTTAAAAAAATCCAAGCCTTTGTTTATCGAAGGAAAAAAATATTTTTAAACCAGTAAGGAAAGCAGTAAAGTCGGACTGGTCCGACTATATGATATCCTTCACCACTTTGGGTATATTCAACATATGTATCCTAACAGACGTCGCCTTTTCGAAGGAATACTAATTGTAGTACCTTGTGTTATTGAATTTACATTAAATATGACGAAAATACATAGGGGAGCTATAACTAAATCTGAACCGATTTTCACGAAACTTAGGACACAAAATTCTCGACCGAAAGATATATTGGGACATTGGTGCATCATTTACATAAAATCGGGCGAAACTATATATGGGAGCTATATCTAAATCTGAACCGATTTTCTCGAAACTTAACACACGTCATTCAAGACTCATTTCAGTACACTATGCAAAATTTCGTTCAAATTGAAAGTTATATAGGGACTTTGGTGCATCATTTACATAAAATCGGACGAAATTTTATACGGGAGCTATATCTAAATCTGAACCGATTTTCACGAAACTTTGCACATGTCATTCCACACATAATTCAGTACCCTATGCCAAATTTCGTGTACATAAAATCGGACCATTTACATAAAATCGGATGAAAATATATATGGGAGCTATATCTAAATCTGAACCGATTTTCACGAAACTTTGCACATGTCATTCCACACATAATTCAGTACCCTATGCCAAATTTCTTGCAAATCGAAAGACATATAGGTACTTCGGTGCCCCATTTACTTTAAATCGGACGAAATTATATGTGGGTGCTATATCTAAATCTGAACAGTTTTTCTCGAAACTTAACACACATCATTCTAAACTTTATTCAGTACGCTGTGTCAAATTTCGTGCAAATCGAAACATATATAGAGACTTTGGTATACCATTTACCTTAAATCGGACGAAAATATATATGGGAGCTATATCCAAATCTGAACCGATTTTCAGGAAACTTGACACACATTATTCTAGACCTAATTCATTACGCTGTACCAAATTCGTGCAAATCGAAACATACATAGGGACTTTGGTGCATCATTTACATAAAATCGGACGAAAATATATATGGGAACTACATCTAAATCTGAACCGATTTTCAGGAAACTTAAAACACGTCATTCTAGACCTAAATCATTAGGCTGTACCAAATTTCGTGCAAATCGAAAGATATATAGGGACCGTTTACCTTAAATCGGACGAAAATATATACGGGAACTATATCTAAATCTGGACCGATTTTCACGAAACTTAACACACATCATTATAGACCTAATACAGTACACTGTGTCAAATTTCGTGCAAATCGAAATATATATAGGGACTTTGGTACAACATTAACCTTAAATCGGACGAAAATATATATGGGAGCTATATCCAAATCTGAATCGATTTGCAGGAAACCTAACACACATAAATCTATACTTAAATCAGTATGCTATGCCAAAGTTCGTGGAAATCGAAATATATATAGGGACTTTGGCACACCATTTACATTAAACCCGACGAAAATATATATGGGAGCTATATCTAAATCTGACACGATTTGCTTCAATTTCAATAGGGTTCGTCCTTTGGCCAAATAAGTGAACTGTGCCAAATTTCATCCAAATCGGATCATAAATGTGACCTGTACTTTGTTCACAAAAATACATGGACGGACGGACAGACGGACATGCGTAAATCGACTCAGAAAGTGATTCCATGCATATTCTCAAAAGGAACCATATGTCTATCTCGATTATTTTTGCCTGTTACAAGCATATGCACAAAGACATAATACCCTGTACCTCAGTGTGGTAAAGGGTATACAAATACACGCCTCTGTTTATTAAAGGAAAAAATATTTTTAAAAAATCGAAGCCAACGATGATTGAAGAAAAAATATTTTTAAGAAATCCATGCCGCATCTATATTTAATTAGAAAAATATTTTTAAAAATCCGAGACTGTTGTTTGAAGAAAAACATATTTTAAACCAGTGAGCGGAGCAGTATAGTCCGACGCGGCCGACCATACGATACCCTACACAGCTGCCACAGAACTCTATCTTTCTGCGGATTTTTATTCCGAGCCTGGGTAATATTTCGTGATAGTTGCACCCTCTTGCCCGATTAGAGGTCTTCCTTGCACTGACATATTTTCCGAATATTACTAATATTCAGTACAGCCCTTCTAATTCCTTATTCATATTCCCTTCATCGTGGGTTGTGTTGTGATGTTCGGCTTATAATTGTAGTCTATAGATTGAATCGAAAAATTATTATCTGATCATCACAGAAAATTATAAGCGTTGTACTTGACCATAACTAGAACCTCATGCAACATTTCCAAGCGATCAGCGCTATATTTCCGCTATGGTTTATTAAATAATATGTGAATACGTAATTACCGGTAAATATTTGCGTGTAACTCCCTCATCCTAGTACATTCGACAATATAATTGGTATCAATTTAATTTATAATTGGTATCAATTTAAAGCCGATAAGTTGATGGTATATCCAAGAGGAGTGGTTGGATATACCATCAACTTATCGGCTCTATGCCAGGAGTAAATATATACGCCATAGAATACAAATTTTGTCATTTTCACACAAAAGTCGGGATCCAGTTGACCCGCTAAATATTGACCGATCTTTATCAAAACAGGCATGCCTATTCTTTGGCTCGATCCCCTTCTCCATGTAAAAATAGAGATATTTGGACCATAATTACGGCCTCTGGAGCGACCAGAAAAACCGACAAAAATTAAGTATTTGGTCCATTTTATCCCCTAAATATTAACCGATATTTACCAAAAACAATGGGGGTCTTCTTTGGGCCGAACCCATCCAACATGCAAAATTTCGTGAATATTGGTTGATAACTGTGGCCTGTATCGTGTTTACAAAATATGACGATCGGTATACTTAAAGGTGGGTCTAGGACCAATATTTCGCGGCGTTACAAACTCTTGGGGCTGCACAAAGCTATAATACCCTGACAACATAGTTTTTGTAGGGTATAACAATCTATATTAAATTCCAGTACCATATAAAAATGTATAAACATATCGTTAATTTTTTTCCAGTTCACAAATTTACCAGTAAAACTACAAACAAATGGTACCACATGTCGGACAACTTCTCACCTCTATCTTTATACATGTATAGTAACAAAATACATCGGAAAGTTCGCCAACAATTATGGGAGGAGAAGATGGTAAAAAAATTACGCGAACAAATTGGAATTTGTGTGCATTCTGGTTAACACAGGAGGTTGGACATGACCTCATACTGGCAAACCTTCGATAGACAACAAGTGTGTGATGCCACATGTGAAACACTGGTCACTGGCCAGGCGAGGAGAAAAATTAAAGGGTAGGAGATGGAATTTTTTTTTCTATCCATATGGTACAGATAATAGGGGAAAAAGTGCGAACCATGGACTTGTCCCTCCCCATACGAAGCATTAACCAGTTTTAGAAAAAATTAGTTCTAAAAAAATTTTTTTTTAGAAAATTTGTCCATCCTGAATTTTTCGTTGGATTTGAATTTATCCAACGAAAAATTCTGCCCTGTAAAATCCCATCCTCCTTCTCTTACGGGGCATATTGTTGTCGTTCAATAAAAATAAAATATAAAAAAAAATAAATAAAAAAACACTCACACACACAGTGTAAATAAATATAAAAGAGTTGGTAAATTAACAGTTGCGGAAAATGGTTGACCAACAAAAAAACATCAGCAGCAGCTTCGTCACTACAACAGCAAAGACAACAAGGATATTTTTTATGAAGTGTGT